AAGAAATTCCTTGTCCCTCATTTTATTAACGACATTTACTGCCCACACCTGAAACACAAAACACATTTACAGTGTAGTTTTGTTTAGATGTTATGTGAACAAAATAAATAAACCTCCAAGTTACAAGTCTTGTGAGTTTTCTAGTCTCACCAGTTTCAGAAGAGGTTTGGCTTCTTTGTCTCCAAAATCCCCCAATTCAAACTCCCAAAGCCTTCAAAGGAAAATAAACAGAGGCTTTCTCTCAGCATTTACACTTCATCACAAACAGACTGTCAGGTTTGAGGTGGATGGTCAGTATCACAATAACTCACTGCTCTCTGAGTGTCTGTTTGCTCTTCTCCACCAGAAAAATCTCTCAGGTCTTCAGCAGTGATGTGTGGGATTTTGCTTTCCTGCTGAAGACTGAGGAACTCCATCATTGCAATCTAAAAATAAAAGGAGACATTTAAACATCACCACTCTCAGGTCCTGAGAAATCACCTGATATTTTACATGAGCTTTGGTTTGGATGGATCTCAGTCTTAACTGAGCCCTGTAGCCTGGAAGATGCCAGCAGTGTTGTTCGACATGAACAGCACCTGTCAAAGAAATAAGAAGTTACCGATTGTTACTTAAGTTGATTCTCAGTCTGTCAGCTTTTAAAACTACGTCAAATTCTTTAAACTGCTAAAATGCAGAAGAAGGAAAAAACCTGTCATATACCCTGATGGGTTTGTAGATTCCTCTACTTGCTTCAGTTGAAATGTAGTTCTTGTGTCACAGTCGGGAACACAAACTGTCAAATACCGTCCAAATTGTGTAAATTGTGTAATGCGAAATGCAGAAATGAAAAAACTCTGAGCTCGATGGTTTCTGTTGTACAGATGAGCTGTTTTTAAAGTCTGATTAAATTAAATTAAATTAAAGTCAGATTTATTTTTATTTTATTTCATTTATTTAATATTTATTTAATGCAGAATTCTAGAACGGTCACCATGGAAATACTTGATGCAAGTTTCATGTTATAAAATTAAAAGAAAACACTTTATCTACATTACACTAAACTTTATTATCATATAAGTAGATAAGTGAAGGCTACAGGCGTCCTTAAGTCACTCCTGTGAAAAGATGCAACATGGTGAATCAGAAAAGACAGAAAGTTACTCTGCAGCATCGTGTCCTTTTATATTATTTGCCTGCTTATCTCCATTTTCTTACTGTAGATGTGAACTTGAGCAGAAAAACAATGGTGGAGGGGACTAATGCATACATTTGAAGGCTGACAGCATGTAAACTGGCCCTTTAAACAGTCCAGAGGGAGAAATCTCTGTGTAATCTGTAGAGTCTAAAGCACAATAATAATAGCACCCTAAATAATGAGGTCATTAATTACTAGGATACCTACTGTTGGAGTCAAATTGTTAAATGTTGTCATTGTGTTACTTAAATTTGTAAGTCTTAGTTCAAACTATAGGATCAAAGACATTCCTTTGTCTCATACCACCTCTCCAGCCACTCTGTTGGTGGGGGAGGCTGAGGTGTTTTATTATAGGCGCATCCTATCTGGAAGTTCTGTTTCTTGTGTGGTAAGCTTCCTGCTTTTATTACCCTTTTGGTGAGCAGGAGGTCACACAAACGCACCCCGAAACACATTCTCACACTCACATACCTATACACACACACAAACACATTCTCACACATACATGCATACACACACACTCTCACACATGCATACACATTCACACACGTGCTTACACGTACACACACAGTGCCTTGTCTTTTGTAACCATAGGGGGGTTTTACAATGGGAGGTGCTTGTGTGTACTGTAACTGCTGTGTCTTGGAAATAAAAGGCTGCGAGGAAGGCTGCTTAGATGAAGTTGGTTAGAAGACAGGTGAGGAGCGTTCAGCTCCAAGAGCTTGGGTTCCGACCAGTCTTCCCTTGCTAGCAACCAAAAGATGTTCGTCTTGTTTCTGTCGTTTTAACGAGAATAAGTTTCTAAACTAGCGGGGCCTGTGGAAACGCAGACCCAACACCTACTGCCATGTTTTTTTTTAGTAATATATCTCTCATGTTTTCTTAGTAATGTGTCTCACATTACTGATGTTTAGAGAGCCCTTGTTATGTTTCACGGGAGTTCAGGAGTGAGTGATGAAAGTGATGCTACACCACCACTCTGCCTCTGGACTAGTGGGTTGCTGCTCTATGAGCTCAGCAGGAGGAGTTGAACCCACAGTGGTTCCCTGGTGGGTAGGAACATCATACTTCAGGTTCAATATTATAGTTACGTTCTTGATGGTCTGAACCTCAGACAGGAACTGGTCAGGACAACTGACTCAGTTTTTTCAAGTTCTGTTACAGAAAGAGAACTAAAACAGCAACACCTACACCTCTACCTGATCACACAATGTTAATGATTTGTCTTTTCAGTGTTGCTATAATATTTTCGGTTGCTAAATACAGCTAAAAGCAGAAAATTCATTGTTGAAAAATCAACACAACCCGACTTACGAAATAAATTCGTTCCCGAGGGTCTTTCGTAAGTCGAAAATTTTCGTAAGTCTAAGCACCCATCGCGCCTTTTGAGTGAACGATAAGCTATAGGCTAATTGCTAACTGCAACAACAATCTGGTCGTTAAGTCTGACGTCACTAGCCGTGTCTGGGCCTAAACTCTGCTGCAGGTCCATATATCAAACGATCACTATGGCATTACTGAGAGTTGAAAAACTGTCTAAAGTATTTCATCTTTAATAAAATGATCAGCATTCTGCTCTACCAGGTGTAACAATTGAGTTTAACATCCAGGCATCCATGAAAACGGAATTTATGACATTTAACGGAGTTAGAAGTTAGCAGGAAGTTAGCTCGCTAGCATCTATCTAAATACAATATAGCATGTCCTGACTGCGGGGTTTTGGAAACAAATTAAAACGTACAGCTCTGTTATCACTTCCAACATAAATGAAGACAGAAAACTAAACAGCAGTGACGTTTGTAGGCTTACTGAAGTTTGGCTAGCTGGTATATAATGATGTGCTACGTGACCGCTAGCGACACAGCTATGTTAGCATAATATAAACAAGCTAACTTTTTTCCCACTCGATAAAAGTTAACATGAGTGTTCTCGGTGGTCAGGAACAAATGTAATCGCATGGCGGGATGCTGTAAAAGGACCAAACTTCAGCCAGGAGAACAACTGAGATAATCCATCCACAATACGAGGTTAGTCATTCATATACTGCTGCATGGGCTGGGCTGTAGTTACATCCTAAGATTTTAAAAACTGAGCTTAAATAAATGATTAGCGGTAATAAAAGCCGAGGGAGGTCAACAGTGATCACTGACTGTTTTAGGAGCTTTTTGAGATTAAATAGAAGAAAATACAAAACATTAAACATGTTAACAACACAAAAGCCATATTAAACGCAGACTACTTTAGGCCTGGAAGTAGGATTCGTCACGTCATCACTTAACGACCGGATACGTTGTTCAAGTGGAACAGCAATGCGCAAGTACGAAAGCCAAGGGGGTTGTCACATGATTCGGAAGGCATTGTGGGAATTGTGGGCATTGTGGGCTCAGCCAATAAGAGCCAGTGGATTTTGTTACACGGGCATTTTGCCGTACCACAGGCAGAAATATTGCCGTTAAGTGCCTTCGTAACTTGATTTTTTCATTAAATGGGGTATTTGTAAGTTGGGGTTCCACTGTACTAAAGTTCCCCAAACAGTCTACAAAGGTTTTTTTTCTGTCCACCAAAGTAAATATGATTCAAGAGATTTTTGTAAATTCACTTGTCCAAAAAGCAAATAAAAAGATCAAACAAAAGATATACTGAACGACAGTCAGCATTACCAGAGTTAGCAGAGCTACTGTAGCTTGGTTTATAGATTTGAATTAGGAGGGATGAAAAAGTGAATTCACTTGACTGGAATCTGCAATCTACTGACTTCTAATGGTGAGATTTTACAAGCTCTAACTTTAATGATACTTAAACAATAGGCCAGGCACGGCATTGCTTTTGCCTGAGCCTGTTCAGCCAGCAACACAGCTGTGTAATATGTGAATAAAATCAAAACCTGTTCCAATCAAATTTCCCTTTTTTTAAGTTTTGACCTTTTTTATTGTACTTCTAATTTCTGAAAAATTACTCTAAAGCTTCTTCTAATGCTCCAGAGTCTATTTGGACCATTTGGACATGACAACCATTAACTGAAGTATGAAATTATGCATTCCAAGGTTCACGTCAGAGTGCATGGAGTCAGGAGTAAATTGCAGTAGATTTTGTCAGTGTCTGTGGCAAATAAATTCAACTTACCTCCAAAACTGACAAATACATTCATAATTAACACACTTCCCATTGTGTGAAGACTGCAGCAAGACATCTGCAGATCTAAAAAAAAACAACAACAACAACAACAAAAAAAACAACTATTAAAAACTAATTTACCTGCTCATTTGATGTCCCTCTTACATGGTAATTCACTCACTTGCTGAAACTCACACACACACACACACAGCAGATGTTTTGCAAATATTTTTTTTATTTGAGATTCTTGTGTTTAGACCTTTAAAAAACATAATTCCACTCTTAAAGTGATTTAAAGAATATGAGATTTTAATATTCATTTTGATTTTTTCTGACTCTAAATTTTCTTTGGTCATTACTCAGTTTTTTTTCTTTCTAATGTACATTTTGAAGATATTCAGTTACTTTGCAACTTTGAAACTTTGTCGTCCGTGTGAACTTTAGTTTTCAACAGTTCTGCACTTTGGCTTATAGGTGACTGATTTGGTATGTTTCAGTTAAATTTAACAACTTTTCCAAATATTTCAGCACTTTAAAAAACAAACAAATATTCATGTATCAGCATTCACACTGCATTTTCTCCAGGAAATGCATTCTCTAGTTGTAACGGTAATTTTTTTTTTCTTAAAGATTTTTTTTGGAACTTTTTATTTTATTTTGTTGAAGACGTTTTCGCTGTAGACGATGATGAAGAGCGAGTGACGTTTCATTGCTGCGCTGTCGCTTTAACGGTGAGTGACGGCAATATTGTGCGCCGGTGAAGCACAAATCCGGTGACTGACTTTAACCAGTTCTGTTGCCCAGTGTTTTGGGTTAGTTTAGTGCTGTGAATTCATGTATACTAAGTCCGTTTTGTCTACTTAAACCACACAGTAGGCTGGTTAGTGTAGTTCTGCGATATTGGGAAGGGGCTCGCTCAAATCAAATCATGGCTTATATTCAGGTTTTGAAGGTCCTGCACCGAAATCTGCAGCACAGAGCACCACAGGTCAGCGTGCTTATCCATACGCACAGGAGAGTGTCAACATTATCAAGACTGGCCTTCCACAGTGGACTAGAGGCTAATTCGCCTGTGCTAAGCTGCTTAATACAAACACACAGACGGCGGGGTATTTGTCTCGACTTTACAGCCAGAAATAAAAGCAGCCCCGAGGACCGAGACAGGTCAGTCTCCAAGTTCCAGAGTGGGAGTCCAAAGCCTTCAGCTGCACAAAAAGGTATGCAAGGCGAGGAAATAAAAAGGATTTAAGTCGTGCTCATATGTACTCAGATATTAGGAGCGTAGTTTCATGATAGCCTGCTATTTTCAAAGCAAACCATTAGGGTTTGTCCGTAGGCACTGTGAAGAAAATGTACTATATTTAACCAAGCAATGATTTATTCCATTGCAGCAGCAGTTTTGGGACAAAAATATACACAATTATTGTATTTACAATCGCAATCAATCGCTCTGATTATCACCAGCAGCAGAGGAAATATCTTAAAATGACCCAGGAGTTTATTTACTGAATAACTGAACAAACACTTGCCTTTATTAGTGAGATTCTAACTTTGCCTAATATAAATGAAAACTATGCACAGCTGTTGCATAATAACCCTCCACACTGAATGCCTTCCAGTGAAAGAAGCTGGCAGGGACTTCACCTACCTGATCGTGGTACTCATCGGGCTTGGAGTGACAGGTGAATACAGCGGAATTAAAAAGCTGCAGTCGTAACCCAAGCAATTCATCATCCTGTTTGAAATGACGTCTGTGTGTGTTGTCAGGTGGGCTGCTGTATGTGGTGTTCCAAGAGCTGTTTGCATCCGCGAGTCCAAATAAAGTGTATGGGAGAGCCTTCGATAAAGTCAAGTCACACCCAGAGGTATGAACGATATTAGTGACTGTCAAACATGAGGCCAGGCTAACAATGTTACAGTTCAGTATTTAAGGTCCTCTTGATGATCTTATGAGGTCATATAAAAAGTTTCTTGTTTATTGAAAATGTAGGTAATTGGTGCATTTGGTGAGCCAATCAAATGTTACGGGGAGACCACCCGTCGAGGAAGGAGGCAGCAAGTCAGGTTGGTGTTTTGTTAATTAGTCAAACAAGTTCAGCAACAAAGCCCGCTTTTAGTTAAGGTAGCCTTAACATGTATAATGGCAGTCTTTGTCTCTTCTCCTCAGTCATATCGAGTACCTGAAGGATGGAATGAAGCATATGAGACTTAAGTTTTACATTGAGGGCTCAGAGCCGGGAGTGAAGGGGACAGTGCATACAGAGTCTAAAGAGGTTGGTATTCTGCCACTCAAAAGCCAGCTTATGAAATACATACATGCACAAGCACTGATTGACATTTCTGCGGTGAATGTTTTGTGTCTTTTCACTAGCACCTACTCAACTCGACTCTGCTCTATTCAGTTTCGGTCATTTTTAATCATATTTGAGTACCACCTCGATGTAGGTGGGATCGTTGTAGCAAGGCGACCTGGAAGTCCCCTGGCGTTATTTGTATGTGACACAAACACAATGCAAAAATGGAGGTGTGAAGCAGCACTGCACTCCTCTGTCGTCACTAACTAGGGAGAGCATAATTAGCCAGCCACCCTGCCATTGCCCCCGAGCCCGCTGAACCGCCCCTCTACACACCTCTGACACAGGAGGGCATCAAGCCAATTGTTTACCTGCTACCAAACTGATGCTAAAACTCTGCATCTCATCATTGGACCAAGCTGTTGGTTTGTGTTCTTATGAAGGAGTTGCTCTCATGACTCACCCAGTGATGTCACCCTCTGCTCAATCAGTGGCTTGTGGTCTATTGATGTCATATTTTCAGCTTGACTCAGCTCGCTTGGAAATCCAGACTAATAGGTACTCAAAAAGTACCTAGTAACAAGTACTACCATCTAATAGAAAATTGAGTAATTTTCAAATTGAGATAAGCCGAGTAGGTGCTAGTGGAAAAGATGCTTTTGTGGGGCCTACAATGTAGCCTACCTATCGTAGGCTCGTTGTTGCCAGCATTTATGCTTGTGCGGGTGTATTACGGGTAAGTTTATGTTGATGTTGTAATTATTATTCCCTATATTGAGGCAGTGATTGTTGTTCTCTCACAGTTAAATTGAAAAAACGTGGCAAAAAAGTATTCCCAAAAATGCACAGAAGAAATCGGCTGTACTGGACAGACCAATCACAGTGGTTGCGGGCTGTGACGTGTAGTTAGATTCAGGTGCATGTCAGGTTACGTCATAGAGTTTCAGAGGATTTTGCAGTTACAAAACGGCTTCAATGGGTAGATTTCACACTGAAGTGTAAATCCCCAGTAAGTGGCACTGTGTGTCTTCCTAAAGCTTTACCTAGTTTCATATGTGATGGCCGTCACATCGCTGATGTTTTTATATGTGTTTAATCAACCAGTTTTTTTTGTTGTTGATTTTACAGAATCCTGAAACTGGAAAATATGAGTTTCGTTATATATTTGTGGACATGGATGTCTACCCAAGACGGACTATAATTGTGGAAGATAACAGATAAGGACCTTAGATGTGTGATTCAGCGTTATGGAAGCATGAGGAGTGTGTGTTAGATGTGTTGCTGGACAAAAAAGCTGGAGAATTCACCTTCACATAGTGTCAGAGGCTGTTAAACAATTACAGCTTTGGTGTAGCATTTGGTGTAGAGCCTTGCAAAGCAGAGATCAAAGGATCACATGGCCCCGTGCTACTAATTTATAAATGTTTGTTTTTTTTACTAGATTGTGATCTTGATTTTGAATAAAATAAAACACTTGGGAACAAACATACAACTGAAGCTCTGTGTGTGTGTGTGTGTGTGTGTGTGTGTGTGTGTGTGTGTGTGTGTGTGTGTGTGTGTGTGTGTGTGTGTTGGACCCTCCCAGGGAAGGAAGTATGTAATAAGTTCTGTTTGTTGTTAGCAGTCAGTTTTCAAGATATCATTTTCAAATCTTGTTCGATGGCAGATACCAATAGCAGCTTAAGCTGTTTTCATTTGAGTTCACATCAAATGTGAACTTCAGTAAAAACTTTATATTACCCACTATATTTTGGCTTCAAACTTCTCAACAATAGATTAGACCTTCATTGGGGGACCTTCATTGTAAGCCCTCCAAGGTCAAAGTTAATCTTTGGGCGGGGGTGTAATTCAAGGAACTATATTGAGTAATACTTCATATGAAAGCGCATGGACAGAGCTCTACAACACATTAACTTTTTCAGTACAATGCCCTACAGCGTTACAATGACCCCATAAATTTTTACAAACTCACACACTGCATAACTATATCTTAAAATCTCAGGTTTCTATAGCTTGTACAGCCAAAGATAATAAAAATACATCATTTTAGTATGTAATGCTTCAAGGTTAAAGGTCACACATCAGGGTGCTGTAATAAAACCAGGCTGACGTCAGTGTGTATTAAAAGCCGGCTAAAGTTAGCAAGTTTAATAAAACCAGGCTGATGTGAGCTTGTTGTAATAAAACATCATAAAACAACCATGTTTTAGCGTAGCCTTTGTCCTTCTATTGGAGTTGCACTCTCTCGAGTGCTCTTGTTTATTGTAGAGATAATTTTCATTGGAGCTACAATTCTTCCTTCATTTGTAAGTTGTTTTTGGGGTGTAAGGTCCAATGACAATTTAACACATCTTTTACATGTTAAGCTCTTTTTTTTATATACATAAAATACAGGTCTAGAAAATATTATGGATGCTTTCCTGTCAAGTTTAGTTTATTTGTTGTGTACAGAATTACATTTTTAGAAATGAAGTATGAAACAGTCACCACTAGATGGAGGTAACGCATTGAGCTATGTACTGCATGACGTGCCCTTTTTTACATTTTTGCAAGTATTTTCCATATAGAATGTGGAAACCGTAATAATAAACCAATATTAAAACTTGTCTCAACTTAATGTCTCATTTTAAGCAATGGCTAGCAAGATTGCTTTGAATTTAGTCTGTTTTCCCTCTATTATTTTTAACTTCAAAACAGTGCTAATGTCACAGGCCTGGATTAAACAGGATAAAAAAGCAAAAGCAGGGAATAATTAGAGACAAACCAGACCATTAAATGTTCCCTTAGGCTTTCAGAGGCGGTCATATATCCATAAAGCTTTTTATCACCCTATAATTTGGAACTGAGCCCATCTATTGAGCAAAAACAGAAAATATTGATATTTCACAGAGTTACAGCAAGAGGCGTTTCGTAAATCCAGTTTATCCAAAGTATATATGCATTTTTCTATCAAGGGAACAAAGTTTGATTAACAGCTTCGATCTTCTTACGTCCGAGATACTGTTGCTGGAGGTCAGCACGAATAAAAACCTCTATAAATCTCGCGTTTAATGGGTTTATGCTTCCAAATATTTGCACTGATCTCATTCTTGTGTAATACTGTATCCCATGTGTACCCAATCGTCCCTAGAACTCGTGCTACGTTCCATGACCCTCGGAAATAGTGGAATTTGTGATGGACCCCCAGTAAATCGTTGTAGCAGTTATCTTGGAAATGTCGCTTTTTATTACTGTTTCTGCGTCAGTGCTGCTGCTGAGATATGAGTCTCGTAGCTTTATATTACACGTCTGTAAATCATCTAAAAACAGACAGATTTAGGTGTTTCTTTTTTATGAAGGGGTTAAAAGTTGTTGGGTTTTTAATAATTAAAAAATTATAAACCATGAACGTACCCAAGATAACGTTTCTGGTTCGCATACCGAACACGAATTAGCTTGATGCTACTCGACTCTAAATAAGTTCTGTTTCAAACAGACAACACTTGAACGGGGAAATTTACGCGATTAATTATAATAACTGCGTCCAATAATTTGTTCCCAAGAGGGGGCAGTTTACGGGAAGCATGAAGACAGGAACCCTGTGAACATTTGAACACCGCCCACTGTGAAAGCGAAGGCATCGCTGAACACAGGGGCGTGCTCAGTCAGTCAGAGCTAGCTAAAACTCTGTAGGACTAGTTTAGTTGTTTCTCCAGGGTTAAGCCAGCGTGTAGCTGTTGTAGTAACTAGCTTATGAACTTGTATATAAGAGCAGGAAGGTATGCTCACCAAGCAGCCCAGTCTCCGTCGTTGTTTTTCTTGCGGTGTGGGTAAATAGTGTACGGCTGCTGCTGTTCCTGTTGTTGTTGTTGTTGTTGTGGCCTGCTAGCTCTAAACTAGCCGTAGCCTCATCTGACTCACGGAGCTCCACTCTCATCACATCCCCGAAGACGCTTGGGGGAATGGCACACCTCGTCAGCTAATCAAGAAGACCGACTTGTCGCTACAGAGTAAGTTTCGTTCTTGTGTCTGCTTTTACTAGACCAGGAAGCTATACTAACTGACAAACCGCCGTGTTGAACTCACCATCTTTTTTTTAAGTTGCATAAAAGTGCTTAACCCGAGCTCTGTGTGGATAGCGGCTTGAGGGTTACACATTCCATGTGAAATCTTCAATGATTAGTTAAGACAGTGCGATGGATTTTTTTTTTTCTTTTTGGTTGAATAGCCTTGGTGAAAAATGAGTTAAAAATTGCTTTAAGTGGAAGTTTTTCCTTTTTCTTTGGGCAGGAATCTGCAGTCTTCTTCCTCAGCTATGAGACTCTCTGCTTAATAATTAACATCTCACAATAATGGAGCTATACTGGTACATGTGAGTATATTGTATGTATTTTTCGTTAATTAAATACGGAGCTTAAAACTGATCCTTGAATCTGATCAACCTTCCTTCTCATTCTTTTGTGTCCTTTACAGAGTTGTCATTATATTCATCGTCATAAAGATATTTTTCTATGTGTGCTGGTACCGGTCGAGACAGAGGCAACTGGCAGCATACCTGAGCAACCCACGCAATGCTCAGATAGTCATTGTTGGAGGAAGGGCCTACCTCCATCAGATGTGTGAGAGACAGAGCGTAAGTGCAGAACCCCCAACACACATGAACATGCACCTCACAGCGCAAAAATCCAGCTGTGAACTTCTGAAGTGGTTTCACACCTTGGAGGAAGTGACTTTATACACAAAAGTTCAAGGGTGTTCACAGTGAAGAGGACCTCCTCATGCTGGCTGAGAGACTGGAGCTGAGTGAGAAAGAGACAGTCAAATAAGGTCGTGGTTGTGTTACTTTCTTTTTTCTTTTTGCAGGGGAGTTATTTGCTTTCTCGAGAAGGCATGCGGTTTCCAGTCGAGTCATTTTTACTTCGATAGGCAGCATTTCACTTTTAGTGTCATACTGAGCAAGTTTGTGGTCGTCCATTAATAGGAACACATTCTGGTTTGAATGCATGTGGGGGTTTTCGTTGATCTGGAGCTTTTCCCCCCCCACCGTCTCTGTGTGAACTGTTGTGCAAAACCCATTAAAGCGAAACGCAAACACAGGGAGTAATTTAAATGATTGTCTTGAAAAACTTTTTTTAAGATCCTACCATTTACAAACTATTCATGAGATATATTGGGAGGAGGTAGTCTCGAATGTTTAATTTGCTTGAGATTGTGATTAGTTTACATGGTTTATTCAGGCTGTTTATCCAGCCAGCAGAATGGCTTTCATAGTTTGCTTTGAAACCTCTCATGTCTTGCCGAAACACGTGCTTTTCATGCTCATTTTAAAATTAGCTATTAAAGGCAGCCTTCTGTTTTATGAGCCCCTTGAAATGCGTGTTGGATTTGCCTGTGTTTCTGTTGATGTTCTCAGGGATACGTCTAGAATAATAATGCCTTTCCTCAACTTCAGCGTGTAGCAACTGTTTTCTGTGGGTTACGCCACAGGTTTAGGCATCGTGTTTGTACCTTCCCCAGGGCCGTTCAGCTTTACTGCCTCTCTAAAACACCTGGAAGCAATCTCCATGATTCAGAGCTTCCCCAAAATGAGAATTATTAACAACAGTTTCTAACTCCAGACCGCTACATTCACTCCTTGTTAGGTGTTGTAAATGCTGCATGAACGGGAAAGTTAGAAACAGGTTTTTGTAATAGATTATTAATTTAAATGGAAATGTACATACAGAAATTCATCTTCACCAGATTTTGAATTATTTTTCGGTGTTGTCTGTCCATGTAGCAAGCACACAGAGGGATATTTTTAGTATTGTTTGAAGGATTTGTGCAACAGGAAGTGACCCATTTATAAAATAAATAATGTAGCAAATGATGCAGGGGCGACTGAGCAATGCCGAGGCCTTTGACCTTGGGTTTCCCAAGACCAATTATGATATTATGTGTGCTATCTGAACTGAAGGAACATGCAGTCCAACACAAGATTGCTGGCTGGCTATACCTCCTTGAACTCATTTTGCTTATTCACTCCTCTCTAATCTTCCATTTGTTTCACAGTTTCTGCATTCCCCCGTTCCCCCTCCCACACTTTCCCTTTTTCTCCCCTTCCTTTTTCCCCCTGTTCCTCTCTTTCTTCCTTTCTCTCTTCTTTGTTCCCTCTGCTGTCTCGGATATATAATGTTCCCTGTTTAGATTTTAATGGAATGTGCAGCAGGGAGACCCCTGTGGTCATCCATAACCCGGTACCCTGAAAGTTTTCTGAAGAAATGCCAAGACGACTCAGCTTCATGATGCAGCACTACTTGTTAAACCTCTTGGACAGCTCTACTCACTCAGAGACTAATATGGCAAAAAAAACCCCAACCTTTTGATAGATAAGGGCCATGGAGAGAAATCCAAATGATTTGATAAGCTATGAGCTGGTTTCAGTCCTCTTTTTTTTAGGCCTACATAAACAGTTGCTATTATGTAAGTGGTACCCAATACCTGGGCCATGGACTGGTACTGGATGAAAGCATTTAATTAGATTTGGAAAATACAGATCACAATAATTGTGCAAGTTTAGTTTAATGTAGCTTATTAGTGTGGTAATTATCTTGAACTATTCTGTCGGTGCTTCACTTTCATCATCATTTCCTATCACGCCCACAACAGCAGGATGATTAAACTAATAAGCTCATTAGTCTGTCATCACCGACTTACAGCGTGTACACCTGGATCACCAACATGGGCAACAGGTTCAAGAGAGCTTGAAAGCATCATTCAAAGGTGCTGATCTGTCACTTAATAAAACGGACTTCTTTGTCATATGTGGGCTGTATCACAAATCTGCAAAAAGCATTTTAAAACAGACATTTTTTAACATCTCAACTATTTTCCCGTCTTCTCTCATTTCTCCTCTCTTTCAAGGAAATGATTGTATGTGTATTAAAAACGTTCCAGCCTAGTGTAATGTAAGCAACAACTGCTGTTATGTTTATACAATGAACTGGCAGATGTCCTCGCTTCTTCTTTTGTGTAAATACAGGCTTAAAAAACGGTTTATCGGGTTTGGGGGGAAAACGTTCCATGGTGGTGATCTGTGTTTGAAGTCAAACATTAATGATTTGATTCTTTGAAAATGCTGCCCGGCTGTTTATGTTCTGCCCTTTGTTCACTGGTGGTTTTTTGACTTGTGAGCTGTGGACTGTGGCAAAAAGAAAGAAAAAAAGTTTAAAAGAGCTGATGCATGAGTGTAATATTATGATAACCAGCAGCAGCGTCATCTCCGGAGATGTGTACAGTAAAGTTAATGCGGCTCGTTTCCTAATAGTGTTAGCGGTGTTATGATGTTGGCTTTAGCTAATAGATTTCTGTCTCTAACGGCTAAGTGTGTATGTGTGTATTTCATTGTGCTTCTGCTTTTTGTGTGTGCATTTGTGTAATTAACTCTGTGTTTCCTTCCTCCTGTAGCAAACATCAGTCTGGCCTAGTTGGTATGGTGTCCAGGATGACCTTTCACTAGAGGAGCCCTCCACAGCCCTGCCACCAGCAGCATCCTTCTCCCAGCTCGACATGCCACCACCATACGAGGCAGTATCTGGAGGTAACAAAGCTGAATAAGTCACACACATCTTTTGCCTCCTTGTTCTGTTGTTAGCCTGCAAGCGAGCCCCATTCAAAATGTTTCCCCCTTCTCGTACTTCAACATCCTGTGGGGTAGAGCGCTCGACCGTTATCCACTAACAAGTTGGTTCACAGCACCCAGTAAAGAAAAACAAGATATTTGATTGGCACGAGGGCTTAACTGGAGTCCCCTATTCCACCTGCGGTGCTGCTTTGAGCAGTTTAGTGTCAGATTACACAGCTTGATGGTTTCACTACAACATAAGGGTGGTTGTGTCATATGTACTTGAGATGAATTGTGCGTTAATTACATTCCCTGACACCCCCCCCCCCCTTAGTAACTGCATTTACATCGATTTCATTCACAGAAACGGTGGGAAAGTCCACCACGTTTCCTGACTGAATACTCTGTGTGGTCGCTGTGATTACATAGTTTCATTTACTGCGATGCAGAGCGCTTGTTGCTGACAGTTTTATAGTGGAAGTGGCTTTTTTCAGATATAAGTAACTGAAAAAGAGAAGACAACTGCCGGATGATGTTTTTCGCTCTGAGCAGCGTTTGCCAGCTTTAGAAAGTCTCGGGGCACACATCAGCTTTGGCATTGCTTCAGAGCCTGTGCACATAACGGCTGTAGTTTCATCCAGTTCCCTTTAGTGCTCCATAGTACTTATATCTCTAAAAAGAGCTGTCCTAATTAAAATGAGTTCACATGCTGGTTTGCAGTCAGAGGTTTGTTTATCAGAGTAACTCCATCAAAATGAAACCATCTGTTTCAGTTGTATCCAAGTGCATTGCTTCTGTGTGTGAGTTAACTCGTTTTTGATGACTGTTTTAAACTGCGCCAGAAAAAGCAACACTAAAGAAGAAAGACCCTAGTTCCTTTTCCTAACAGAGGCTCAAATACTGGACATGTGACTGGCACTTTGAGAGCTGATGACTCTTTCCCAATTATTTTGTTTTTTAATTCCATTACCCCACTTTTGTTTTTCAATTTTAAATAATATTGCTACTCGTAATCACTCTTCTCTCAACTAGAAAAGGGATTTTCTCCCTTTTCTAGTTGGGGTTAAATGTACTTTAAACAGTCATGTCAGTGCTTTCAGTTTTTCCTGTTTTGCATAATTAGCTGCAAATATGTGTTTTCGTAGGAGGGCACAAGCTAGCCACTCCAGCTTTTAAATCTTTGTATCAAGTTTCAGAGCGTCCTCTTTCGCAAATGGCATCTCATTTGATCTGAAGTGGTAGTTGAGTCTGACAAGCAGGATGTGGTTACAAAGGCTGGAAATGGTGACATTTCAGCAGCAGTGTAATTACACAATGTGACTGGTTCCATTTCGCCCTCATATCAGATCTTTTTTTCCTATCGGAGACACCGGGGAGGGGACGTTTGGGTTGCTGTAATACAGCAGTTTTAATAGTGCCACTGCATGAAGGTATAATAAGCACTGAATTCGGCGTTACAGCCACACAGCACTGTGTAACTCCTGTTTTCTGCGTCTGCTGCGGCACAATTTAACATTCGCTGTTATTGAATATTTGAAAGTTTTGTGACCGTATGAAGCATGAGTAAAAATTCATCATCTCAAAAAGCTCAACCGAGAAGCTGTGAGAAGTACCGAAACCTTTTTTTTTTTCCTCTTCCATAAAGGGAGTGTCAGGAAGGTTAAGATTAAAATCTTTTTTTTATGATTTTTTTTAAACAGCTGACTAAAGTCAAAGTCCTGCCCACAAAAAAAAAAAAAACACCTTGCTGCTTCCTAACATTACAGCTCATTCTATGATCAGCGTGAGCCCCATGTTTAGAGGTGATTTATGTTTTCTCCTGTCGGATGTTATGGTTGAACAGTTTGTTTGTAGTTTATTTTGGTGCATAGTTCTATTATATTTAAGGTGAGGGAAACATTTATCCGGTGGATATCCCTAAACTGAGCAGCTCAGTTCGGGACAAGTGTGTATGATTTCCTGTTTCCTTAAGCTGTCTTCTCTGTTCCTTCCAGAGGACGACCTGAAGCCCCCTCCCTACAGCGAGTGTGCCCAAGGCGACGTGCCCGACGCCCCGCAGCCCTGCCATAACACTCTTCGTATTTCTGAGGGAGGAGACTCCACTAGCGTAAATGAAGCCCCGCCCCCCTACACAGCATCTCCCCCTACACAAGTCAGCCAACAGGACGGCGCTGTAAGTCACAGCGGGTCCACTTAATCAATCCCTGATGCCAGTTTGCCTTTTCCATGCACTGCCTTCCTACGTTCAACCTCAGTGATTGTTGCCAGCCTAACTCTCACAGGAGAGCAAATGTTTATTTGGATGTTTGTGCGTGTATATGAGTGTGTGTGTGTGCATATGTTTGTTGTTTTGTTTTTTTTTTACTTTGTGTTGTTTAAAAAAAAAAAAGTGGTCATCTGATGAGTTTGGCAATAACAGATGACTTCAGTGAGCCTGTGTGCCTCAGTCAGGACTGCCTTCCAGCTAGGATGAAAATAATCCCTTTGACCTCTGAGTTTCAAGGGTATCAGTGGAGCCACAGATGAGCGAGAGAGACTTTTAAACTGTGCTCTGTTTTATAAAGGGTTTCTCTGAGGCCACCTTCTTTCACAGAACTAAAATAGTTGATCAGTCTCAAAATCAAACAGATGCTTTAGTTTTTGTTCCAGATGCTATGAAGCATAATATGTGGGGCACGGCTTCATATTTGTGTCCGTCTGTAGACGCTGTTCTGAAACACAGTAAGCGAGTAACAGCCTTCCATACAAATTCACAGTGTAGACAATCTTTGCTATGTATAGCACATGTGCATAATAAATACTTTCAACTCCAAACTGTTTACTCAGTGCTTCATTATGAGTGCACTTGAGTGCTATTTGATAACAAATGCACCAATTGTCTTAGATAATTACCCCATTATCCCGTGTGTTTTTTTTATTGTGGTGATTATACCGGGACGTTAGACAGTTCAAGTGACTATTACCCTGAGAATGGGATTGAGCGAGGGCGAACAGAAAAGGGGAACAAGTGGATGAAATAAATGTACGCTGGCAGTAGAAAAGATACGGAGCGAGTGGTCGTAATCGGTGTAGCTGCTGGGTTCTTTCTGCTGCTCATCATTATTATCTCCTATACACCAGATTGCAAATAGTGTAAACATGAATTCTTCTTCTGTTAAAAGTTGGAAAATTGGACAATTGCTTTTGTTCAATGGGTTGAGAGAAATGCAAATGTGTCTTATGTAGATGTAAATCCAGCTGGAGGATGATCAAAATCATTGTAGTGAATTGTAATTCTCATTTAAATATGTCTTCAAATGAAAACGTGTAACAACCCTAGAAAAACACTCACAGGGCTACGAGCAAAGGCTCAAAACATTCTTGGATGTGAAGGCTGCTTTTTGTGGTTTTTAGAAGTCACCAAAACTGAGCTGTCACTTTTTTCTTCTCTTTTTTTCTTTGTGAAAAGAAAACAAACCAAAAAAATTTTATTTTATTTTTTTTTAAACAGTTCTGTTTCTGATCATTTTTACCTCTGCCACAGGGTGGTAGAGTTCAGCTGTTTTACATATATGTTTTCTTCTGTTGCAATTTTTCAAATACTATTTCTTTGTAAATTTTGTTTTTGTTCTTTTCTCTTTTTTTTCCTGTCACTGCATTTCAGTTAATCCAGAAATAACACTGTACTCCCAAATAATCCATTTTACGTGTTTGTTTAATCAGTCTGTGTGTAGTTTCTGACCATTAAGGGGGCGGGGCGTGAGAAATCTAGAAAAACTGAATGAATTTTAAATGTTTTCTGGACTTTTGGGTAAACGGGGTCTGTTCGGAGAATCACATGTGATGTACTTTAATGGTAATTCTTTGTATTGTGATGACAAATCGTCCGACGCTGATGCGTTTTTACCAAATTTACCTGTGTTGGTTTTACAATCTGGAGGATGTAACGGAGAAGCTCCGAGGTGCAAATCTGAATGTGGGCTTGAAATGGCATCTTTTGTATGGCGGCAGCATGATGACGATTGACGACCTGAGTGTTACGAGGCTTCTGTCCGTACTGTGTCCTGTTTGTTCACTTCACGTTCATTCCCATTGTGGGCAACATATCAGATGTCCCCACTTAGTAGCTTTGCAAGTCGAGGGGAATTAATTATTTTTTCTGCTTTGGGAGAAATGCATCTTCTGTATTAAATTGTTGTTATACAAAATATTGTCAGTTTCATTTTCTCATGTTTGAGGTCACCCCTGGGCTGCACAGCAGAAGAGCAACACTCACTGGTTCGAAAATACAACACAATCACTTTCTAATATACACTTTGGTCTCTGAAGTCTCCACTGTCTTTAAAATCTGCACCTGCACTTTGTAATGCAGATTTTTCCAAACCAGGGAGCTATCACGTTATTGCCCTTTTCTTTTCTTTCTTCCAAACATTGAAAAGCTCTATCTGTAGCTAGAGAATTAAATGTAGCTGCTAGTAGCTTCTTGTATTCGCTACGACAATGAAATCATTCTTTTGCTCCCTTTAGGGTCACCACAGAGGATCATCTGCCTCCACCTCACCCTAGCATCTTTCTCTGTCACACCAACCCCTCTGTATATCCTCCCTTATGACATGCATGAATGACCTCTGTGGTTTTCCTCTTTTACTCCTGCCTGGCAGCTCCATCATTAACAACACTTGTCTAAAATATCCACAATCCCTCATCTGCACCTACAAACGCTCAACCTGAGCAGCCCCTCTGATGTTTCTTGTCCATTCTTCTCACTCCCAGTGAAAATCTTAACATCTTCATACAGAATTCACATTTCCTCATGTTACAAACTTATTCCAAGATGGATTATTTTATCATTTTTTATCTCAGAATTCCACACACAGTACCCTGTAATGGTAAATTGAAAGTTTTCTTGAAATTCTTGCAAATGTATTCAAAGTGAAAAACGTATAACATGTACACAAGTATTCACAGCCGATCTCTGATGCGATCCCACCTCGAGCCCATACATCACTCCAACCCCGCACCTCATACATAACGCACCTTACTTTTAAACCGACTCTGATAGACCTCATGCGAACATACAGTAGAGAATGACAGCTAAATACACATCGGCATGGCACTATAGTGCTTCACCCAGTATGAACTCCTCTCATTTGTAAGGCAGTGAAAGGTTAGCCGTGGGTTCTTCCTCGCAGACTGCTGTTTTCCTCACCGCATTGGAAGTTCTGAAAAACGAACTAGGTACTGAGAAATCCGTGCAGCCAAGTGTAAAAAGGCACTATTTAAAGAGTTTTTTTCTTCTGTCACAGACATGTTTCTTGTGCTCATTATGTCAAAGTAATTCCAGCACAATAGGAAAAAATATCACCAGGAAAGCAGTCTGTACTCATTCTGGCTAATATGGGGCTTCGGTGCTCTGAGTTAGTCATGTCTTTGATTCAGTGGTCCTTTAAGTGTGACCGTACCCTCATTAACCTCAGTTGAGCTGGTAAATACTTGAACCTTGTTATCAACCGATCCCTCAATGAAGTATGAACAGTGGAGGGATTATTAAATAGAATAAAAAAAGGTTAACCACATGTGAGTACATGTAGGAGCAGAACAAGCTGTGACCCCGTAAATCGCCACTAGAGGGCAGTCTCGCACCAGTGATAATGTCAGCCACATGCTTTCGAGCAGCCTGCACCTGTTGCTGAGCCCGGCGGTCTTTGAGTGCCTACAGGCTCTTGCTGGTATCCCCCCCAGTGCAGGATGATGTCTTTTATCACACGTTTAAACGGCAGAAAGCTCCACTGACTTTTGTTCCAAAGTTTTAGATTTCTGATGGAAAAAATAATTGGGCTCAGTCAGGATCAATTGTAGAGCCCTCTTGTGGAATGAATGCTCAAGGACATTCATTTTTGGAGCTGCATACAAATAAGCTCAGCCTAATGTTGCATTTTTCTTCAAAGAAAAGTTTATGAATCGTACTTAAAGCACATTAAATGTGGTCAATCAAAAAAGATGAGAAAAATGTATTTAAGGAAACAGCTCCCGCGACATTAAAGACTATAACCTTCGTTCACCGATTCCTGTGTTCATGCGTGACAGACCGTGTTGTGTCAGCTGTGAATAAGTTATCCAGATAAGATGTGTGGCACTGATTTTGCTGTGCGTAATTTATGGTTTTGGGGGGGAATATTTGCATTTGGGGAAACAGGCAATAATCCATCATGTATATCGCTTTACTGGTTATCACATCCTGGTATAAACAGCTGCATAATGGAGACTGCTCTCAAGGATATTCACCGAACTGCCTTTGGAGATTACCAATGTCTTGAAGGCCATTCGAGGAACACAATAGATGGCTCAATTACCCACTGTTGTCTGTCAAAGATATATTGTGCTCCCAAGACGTGCAAGTGGATGCGGCACCTGTGAAGTGACGAGGATTTTGAGAGTAAGGTGTACGCACTGAACACGGAGAAAGCGGTGCCTTTCGAAGTCTCCGGGAGAGCACATTCCGGGCATGGGTGAGGACGGATAAGATGTCAAAAATACTTCTGTTTTTGATTTTCCACCACAGAGTTGTTTCAGATCAGGACTGCTTTTTTTTCACTGTTTGAATTCTTCAGTTGCTTCAAATTCACATTACATTCCTGTGCAATGACAGTGTATCGTCGCAACTCTGAGGGAGCGTTAATGAGTTTCGCAGGTCATTTAACAGCTAACAGGTTCCTGTCTTGTGCTGAATACCTTCATCACTTTTTGTTATCCTTTTTTTTTACTTGTTCATTACAGTTTGTATTATGCATTAGAAAATAAGGAGTTGCACTTATTTACGGGATAACTGCCTGCGTAACTTAAGTCCTTCAGCAACTGCCAAGTGACCATCCCTTGCAGGACATGCATATCCTCTGTAACTTGTTGGAAATGAAAGTGATTTCCTGTCCCAAAGCACGGCGCACGTGTGTTTTGACATTGCTTGAAACATGTGTTCAACTTTCAGTCTTGTGCAGCAGCAGTTTAACTTAGTGTGGACCTAAATTGTTCCTCTGGTACTTTAGTGGCTCGCAGAACCAAATTTACCATTAATGTCTGTTTGCTTCCCATGTGAGAAATAAGCGGGTGAAAAACTGCGGTGCTTTCTGTTCCGTTCTACTTTATACTCCTACTGCAGTACAAATCAGTGCTGCTTCCTACTACATTTGTTTGACAGATCTAGTTACTGGCCCACAGGGATCCACTAAGGTAAAGTTCAAACGTGTGTTATTGCATTTAACAGAGTTCTATCCATTTTTCTCTTATATGGGATCATTTAATAAACAATAATGTCTGTCATGCAAGAGTTAATGAAACCCCTATTAAATCACACGGCTCTTGCTCAATCTTCATTTGGGGTGAGAGGAACACAGGAGTAGGGAGCTTATCTCCAGGAAAAACCCTGATCTTTTCATTAAACCTGGGATTTGCTTCTGCCCTTTTGGACACAGAGATTATGAGAACTGATGTTGCTTGTTCAGATAGAAAATACCCCAGAAGGATATTTAGACCCTGTGATTATCCAGCAGTTTATCATTATATTGTCATGATTTAGCGGACGAAAACAAGACACCCTGAATAAGTTTATGTTTCAAAGCATTGCTGCCCGTAACAGCTTTCATCTCCATCAGGTGGCAAAAGCATGATAAGCAGGTTGATTGTGTCTCCTTGGCCCCACAAATATAGATATGATCTAGAGGGCAGAGACATGCCTGCTCCTGTCTGTGATGACAGGATAAGTGAGGATGTCTGAATGTCAGGCAGGAAGGATGAGAACTCGGTGCAGACATGCATGTGTCTCGGTGTAATGATATAGCAGTCAACAAGGTAGGGTTTTTTATGTTAAGGATTTATTGTACCTCCTGGATATAATCATCATTCTTTCTTCAGGACCTCTTCTTGATGGCTGCACAGTGCTTAACAGTACTTACAAAATGTGCAAGCAGTGCAGCCTTCCCCAGAGGTAATTTGTTAGTAACCGGAGCCGGTATATTTTGCATTTTTAATCCCAGAAATATTATCCGAAAGGAAAGTTGTCATCCAGGCAAGTGAGTTTGTGACATATAGGCTACCCACCGCCGGTTTCATCAGAACCAGGAAAGGTGAAAATGAGAGATTCTCTCTTCTTGGAGGACCTGCAGCTCTCCCCGGCACTGGCTTGTGAAGGAAACCATTCATCTAGCCCACTGCCGTTCCTTCAGCACTGTCAAATTTCAGCTGAGAGCGGGCGCAGAAACTGTTTGGAAACATCTCCCTGACTTGCAGTAATGCAGTAATTCTTATCGGGATTCGCTGTTCCAAAGTGTTGGGTTTGCCCTTGAGCATATTGGATTTGACGTGACGTGCATTGCTGACTTGCTTTGAAACTACAATGAATTGAAGACGTGTGTCAGCTCCTTGCAAACAATGCTTCTCCACTTGTGCAGTTTATGGAAAAACTTAAAAAGGAGCAGGTGCAGACCAGATTGAATGCTTTTTTTTTTTTTTAGCTGTCAGAGGAGCAGACATAGATCTGCAATACACAGAAGCAATGAGGGAAAGAGCAGAGACACTGAGAAGTCTAGAAGTCTGCAAATCCTACTCAGTGCTCTGAGTTCTTCCAACCTTTGACCTTATGTTAATTTCACCTACAGCCTGCTGGGCCTCAGTGATTACCTGCTGTCCCAAACAACAAAATCCAAGTTCCTCTGTAGAAAATGACGCCTTCTGTCTGGTGCCAAAGGAACTGTTGTTCCCCGTTTATCAGCTTAGTGAAAATTTACATTTTAATTGAATCCTGATGTTTGAGCCAAACTATACTTACTGAGTTACTGGAGCCCCTTCAGAGAAACGACTTACAGGCTTGAAGTGCAAGTGCAGCGAAGATGACGGGCAGTCAGAGCCGCTCACATCAACTATGCAGAATTTAACTTCATGTGCCAAGATAGCTCATTCTGCCGTCACCAGGAATATCTTTGGCTTTAGTGTGTGTGGGAAAAATCACAAAACTCCAGCTGGACTTTGTGCGTGTGCATATTTACCCATCAGCTTGTATGTGTTTTAATGAGTTTGAATGTGCCAGGATTTTCATGCTTGCCAGGGGTGTACATGGAACGTGTGTAAAAACAGAGGGGAATTAGAGGTGGGCTTAGGACTGTGTAAGTATGTGCATGAGTGTGTGTGTGTGTGTGTGTGAGGGTGTTGTCTGTGTTC